AACCAACCCTCGCCCATTGCTTTCGATGTGGAGCCTCCTGTCGCTGCTTTCGTTGCCGGCCCGGACGTCATCAAGCAGATGTATCAGGTGCCTACAGGCAACGCACCGGTGCCTGGAACCAAAGCCACACAGTCCGTTTTGTCTATCGGCGACATGTACTCGATTCCGTTGGCTCGGTGGTACCAGAAGTTCTATGGTCAAGAAGCCACAGAGGTCCAGGTTTCCGGAGTCAGTTTTGATAGTACAACGTTGCCGGACTTGGGTGCCACGGAGTCGAACCTCGACATCCAGATGATGGTCGGGGTTGGGCCGAATATCCCAACCTACGTGTACGGAGTCCCAAAAGGCTCGCATCCCATCAAAGACTTCTTCGCGAAGCTGGACCAAATGACAAACCCACCACTGGTGAACTCCTTGAGTGTTTCATTACTTCCAGGTGCAGAAGGTCCAGGTAACGACCAGGTCATGGATGGAGAGATGGACTTGATGTTTCTTGCAGCGAAAGGTATTACGGTGGTTGTAGCATCAGGTGACGACGGTGCGGGGTATGGCTATTTACCTGCAGGAGGGCCGGAGAGTTTCCATGCAAACAGCAACATCACGGGCGAGTACTTTTTCACAGTTCAGGCTCCAAGCAAAGAAGATTGCAATGCCGCCTGCTCCTTCACTCATCGAGGCCCCCCGCTTTGGCAATTGACAAACAACAAATGTGGAGTCTGGTTGTTTCAGGCAACTTCTGGGGCGTGCACTATGTTCAGTATGGGCATGCCGTTTGAGGTGACGACAGGTAACGGATTTGTCGGAGGCCCAGAGATTGTCGATTGGCCGATGGCGCCAACCTGGCCGACCATGAGTCCGTGGGTGACTTCCGTGGGCTCCACGGCTCCATGGCGTAATGGCAACGTCCTGAACCAGTGGATGCCAGAAAGGGCAACCAACCTCTTCGGCAGTGGTGGGGGCTTCATGTGTCCGTATCAGGACAAAAAAACGATTCGAGGCAGTAACTGCATTTCAACGGACAGCAGTTAAGGACTACCAGAAGGGTTCCAGGAATGTGAAGCCTTCTCCAAGCGACAAATGCCAAGAAGGACAGGAATTTCCCGATGTGGCGCATTGGGCACGAACATTGCTGTGGCTACCCGGATAGCTGGGAAGTTCAGCTGTTGTAACCCAACACAGGGCACGTCAGCCGCAGCTCCCATCTTTGCCGCGATCATCTCTCAACGTCGAACGCCTCGCTCGAGGGATGAAGCCCATGGGCTTCATCAACCCATGGCTGTGCCTGAGGCTAGATATTTCAAGAATTGTGCTGTTCACGCGAGTCGTGAAGAGTCGACCGATAGTACTGTATGTCGGGGGTTACTTGAGGTGTGCGACTGGGTTTGGTATTGCCCCGAACAGATGCAGATGAAGTTACAGCAGCTAAGGTACCAGAACTCCGATGTCTTCAACGACGTCGCAGAGGGTGCTAACAACATCGGTAGAGTTTTCAACTATGGTCCACAGGACAAGTATGTCTACAGCGCGGCCGAGGGCTGGGACCCAGTCACGGGCCTGGGCACGCCAAACTACCCAAAGATGCTACAGCGCAGCTGAGCTGCATCAAGTCCCTGTGTGTGTGTGTGCCTATGTCGGGTCGATGCTTGTAGTTGGGGCGTGGTAGATTGTAGGCCTCTACTT